AGCAGAGTCGACCACCCCGATTCCTGATATAACAGAAAATTGAAGAGTCAAACGTGACTGTTCTGCACAAAAATAACGGGTTAATCTTGTCAACTGTATGTTAAAGGAACTTCTTTAAGATTCATACACGTTACCCGTGGTGAAAAATGGTATACAAGCCATTTTCGTGCATTCATATCGACGAACTATTAGTGCTGTAGAATATTAAGCGTTGTCTTTCGATTAGTATTTCAATCAAATGAAAAACAGAGGAGAAATATTAAAAATTCAAACAGTCTAAATTATTCAAAGCTACCGGTTAGTTAAGATATCTCACCTAGCAAAAGCATTTGTATCAATTGATTGCACATCAAACACTTTTCGATTACCCATTAGAATAAGTGAACGAAGATAAGAAGAAAAGGCCTTTGAATTTTGAAAAAAATAGTTAAGAGTTTTTATGACAATGAAAATTCCTTTACTCGTTTTGCTTCTTCTTTAAGTTCTTGAAATTGTGCACAAAGTGCTTGAATTTTTGGTGTTAAATCATGAATATAATTCGGATTAACTCTACAATCATAAAAAAAAACCTGCATTAAATTTCATATAAACGGGTTTTTAATTCTATATACTCAATTTTTTTGACAGGAACTTTTTTATCTTCTAATTGTTTAATCATTCCTTGTTCTTCACGACTAGTTAAAATTAATAAAGCTTCTCCACCTTGTTGAAATCTATTTCAAGATAAAAAAACAGCTTAAAACTTGTATTTGAATTTTTCAAAATTCGTTGTTCTTACCGTGCAGTTCGTCCAACTCGATGAATATATGTATTTGCATCAGGTGGACAATCAAATTGAACAACCCAATTAATAGCCGGAAAATCTATGAGTCAATATAAATAATAAACTAAAAATTTAGAAGAATTTATTTACCTAAGCCTCTTGCAGCAATATCTGTTGCAAATAAACATGCATATTGTTTACGACAAAATGTATCATATATTGACATTCGTTTCATTTGACCCATCGTACCATATAGAGCAAGTACTGGTAGACCCGGACGAAGTTTACATATAACATTATAGATAAATTTAACCTATAAATCAGTTAAATAGGAACAAAAAAGATTTAGATATCAAATTCAAAAACTTCGGAAATTTAGTGGAAGAAAGAATAGAATACATCATTTAGAGATTTATTGTCCTTAGAAAGCAATACCTAGAGAAGAAGAAGACTGCGGATTTTAGAGTGAAATTCATTATTTTAACTATCCAACACTCGAAAATCTTAGTAGATAAAGTCCTGTTGAACAGTTGCGAATCACGAAAAAAATCTTAACAATGTTCTGAAGTTTTCCTACTCCACTGCAAACACATTGTCTGATTTAATTAGTGTATTGTGCATAATAACGATTGCATGTATGTGGGCAACAGCGCACTTTAACTGTAATTAAACTTCAATTTAATCTTTTTTCTCACGCTTTGGAAATAGACAGATAAATTTCTTTTGATATTAGAATATTCCATTTGATAAATAGACAATGATTAATTTTATCGGCATCCAGATGTGTTCGTTGATCGGTATCATGTTTCATGGTCAACACAGAAGGACATGACTATCATTGTTTCTTCATAAAAATTACTTTTTGAAATCAATTATTTTGCCATGAACACATGTAAAAATATTCTTTCAATTCACAATTAATTGAACTTAATTGCAGGAGTCGAAAAAAGTTCAGCTACCAGATAGAAAGTATCTAAACTTGAATCCTTTAGTCTCATAGTATCATCAAAAATAGAGCATGTTTAAATGATATCTCAGCATAGAAAAAAAATTTCATGACGTTAGACTCTTCATTTGACAGTTCATTGCTTCCTCTATTATCATGAAAACTTGTATTTCAATTTGCCTGATTTATGAGACATTTTTTGAGTAATCCCACATGACAATTGATGGAAATTGTTGAAAAGTGGCCAATGTCTCCGACTAATTTTAACCCTTTGCTTTGAAAATTTCACGATCATAGTCATCGATAGAGAAGAGACTCGAGCTGAGACCGTTCCAAACAACGGAGGTTTCTCTACATTTCAAGATTATAGTGGATTGCAGTGCTCTATCTGTGACATAATATATACATGCTTTTTTTTTGTTTCTAAGAAAAAATAACAGTGTTTTAATCGTAAATCCTTTGGATTAAGACCTATCAACTTTGGGTTGTTACTTACGATCAGGGTTTGCGCCTACTGCAGTTAATTGACTAAAAATAGAATCAGAGAATAACTCTCTAACCACGTCGACTCCTAAAAAATTGTTCCGCCAAAACTGGTTTTCTAGAGATCTGCTCATATTTTAGAAAAAGACTTTTGGTTTGCTATCATTTCAAGACTTTCAAGAAGTATTTTTACTATTGAGAATCAGTTTTTAAATACATGTTTTATATTAGAAGTAAACAAAAGACGTATTCTTCTTTGACAAAAATGGTATGTTTACATTTCTTTTGCTTTACGATATAAATCAGAAAAAAAAATCATGTACTAGATTCTGGACACAAAAATAGTTTATCTTGTAGGGCTTCTATTTATTAGATAGCAAAATCAATATATACCTGTTTACAACTTTGAATAAAAATAATTATTTTCGATTTAAGATGATTTTTAATAAATGACCATGTTAAACTAATTTTTTGTGGTACTTCACAAACAATATAACTCTAAAATAAAACAGAAGCATAAGATTATTATTGTCATCTGAAATTATTTTAATTTTACTTGTGTAAGATTTGTTGGTGTACTTGTATTAGCTTTTTCATGAACAGATATATAAACTGGTTTTTCTAAACTAACTAATGCTAATTCACGTATTGATCTATAATAAATAAAAAGACATATATTGATGTTTCATATTTATACATTTGTTTACTTTGTTTGTGTAGCAGAAAATAATAATGTTTGTCGTTGACTAGGTAAATTAGATACAATTGAACGCATTGTTTCAGCAAAACCCATATCTAATGTACGATCAGCTTCATCAATAACTATTTCAAATAATTTCTTTTTTAATGAAATAAATCAAGAAAATTCATTCTTACTAAGCATTTTTAAATTTTCACATGAAAAATTCCATGTTTCATCGAAATGTTGTAATAATCGACCAGGTGTACAAACAACAATATTTGTACGATTAATGCGTTCTTGTTCGCCTTTTAAATCCTTTTAAAATTAAATAAATAATAAAAAAAAACAAGGAAATCTTTTATTAAGAATAACAAAGATTTTTACTTTTCCACCAATAATCAATCCAGCAGAAAAATCATGAAATTGACCAATTTTTTTTAATACTTCAAATGTTTGATATGCAAGTTCACGCGTTGGTGATATAATTAAACTACCAAGACCATCATTAATTGTCCATCGAACTCGATACAGACATTCAAGAATCTATATTATAATTTATAAATTATATTTATTATATGACAAAGTTATTAATACAATCCTGATGGGATTAAAATATAAAACACAATGTAACTGCTTTTGCTAATCATAAGAAGATTGTTTTATTCTATCTATGCTTTGGATGAGCGCTAAGACGGTACGCGTTTGTTACACTGAGATTAGCTATGTCGAAAACTAGTTTTGAAAAGACTTTTTTCCCCCACAAACCACACATTCAAATTAAAAGATTTCTTCAATAATTGATACAAGACGATATGTAGATTTAGAATATTTACTGGGCGTATCTATCAGATGGTTTAATTTTGTCATCGATGCCAATGTTTCCAAGCTAATTTTTGAATTTCGATTGTTCCACTTTACTTAAAATTTGTAACACAAGTTTTGATATCATTATATAGAACATGTCTCAAAGTATATCACAATTTAAAGTAGATAAAAAGTTGATTTTCGTTTTTCTTCCTAATGTTCGCCTGGATGCATAGTGGTGTCCTACACCGATACAACTTTTCTCAACTGAACCCGCACCGGAGCTAACCAACAGTCAACAGATACTTTCACAGTCACAACACAATTTTTAAATTTTTATTTTATATGAAAAATTATACTATATAGTTTCTTTCATAAACAACAACCAGAGGTGTCGGATGGGTTGGGTTGGTGCGGGTAACCCAGTGGGTTGGGTAGGTCATTTGAAAAATCTGAAAAGCCCCCCCCCCCCCCCCCCCTCCCACTAAAAACCCCCACTCGCCGCCCCTGCGCGA